TTAATTAGTATTTTTAAATATAACTCTTAATCAATATAAAACTTATATATAAACCCATGTTAATAAACAGTCTGTTACAGCACATAATTAAGTAATGAGACTGAATTAGACAAGATGTAAACAAGTGAAAATTGGTAAATGTGTAGGTGAATCTTAATAATAAATAATTAAATGAATAAAACATCTAATAATAAGTGAAAGAATCGACACAAACTCTACGTGAAATACAACAAAGAAGACATCTTTACATTACAACAAATTGAATAGTTATTTCCATATGATACTCATAACATGTGACAAATGTCATGAGAGTTCAACGACGTAAACAACACTCCTCTTGACTCATTAACTCAATTAATTTCTACAAATTCATTGACACGTAATGAAAACCAAATAAATTGCAATTAGAAAATAATTTAACTTCACTATTTTTGATAGTATTCTATTGAATTACTTATTTAGGAAAATGAAACATTCTCACTTATTACTTGTAAGGATATCATTACTGACATTACCCTTTAGTCAATCAACGTCAAATGAATTACCATCGATAATCTACCATGTTATCACTTTCTGTTGACTGTTTTCTTATGGATATCGCTTGAATATGTATGCTGAAATCTTTCTGCTTCATTATCAGTTGTAATGTTTTATATAACCATTGTAATGTTATGGCTTATCTGTTGACTTGTTTTAATGAAGAGTTTGCGTAATCAAATCTTTAAAATCAATTACAACTATGTAAGCGAGTGTGTTTATTAATTTGCTATGTGAAACATTGTGTGTACAAATGAGAAACAATTTTGTTGACTTTTTAGAGTCATTTTAATTTTCAGTTGATAAATGGATACCTTTCCATGAGCAAATTATTTTTGTAATTCACTTTCTTGCTTGTGGCGGTTACTCCGAATGGAGCATAGGCGTCTGACCAGCATTCTCCAACCCACTCTGTCCTGGGCCTTATATTTATACTTACGTAATTCCTGACATTAACTATATATAGTTTGATAGACGTGAAGAAGCTTATTCTTGAACCTTGAATTTCTTTGATTGTTTGATAGACAGGAATTTAGACAGAAAATTTTATAAACGATCTTAGGTTCTTAAAGTCTAAAAACGAAATATTTAAGGAATAAAAATGACTTATAAACACAACAGGAGTAAAACATTTAATGAGTAAAATGCTGATAGATATAACACACAATATTTAGAATCTAGCTGAATATAAATGAATGATATCATAAATTTAATTGTATCACTTCTGAATCGCATTTCATAGTGTATTTCATCATTTAAAGTGTTCAAGTTAATTGTCTGCACAATTACGGATATATTAAACTTTCTCTTATGATTCTGTTATAATGTAGCACGTCTTTAATCTTCTTACTAACTTATTCCTATTTTAAATAATATTATATTTTAAGTTTGATGACAGTTAAAGCCATTGAAATACAATTTCTAATCTTCTTGATTTATGAGAGGAGTCAACAATACAACCTTGAGATTTAATTTTAAAAATTGCTCGCAAAGCCTGATTTACTCCACCTAATTTACCAACATTCACAGTGTTATCAAATATAATGTCGTTAGGAATGGTATATATTAGGTTATTATTTTCTTCATCTTAGAGTAAATAACCTCTGTTGATAGAGAAGATTCTTTTTCATATACATTTGCATATTGATAATATTTTGTAATTGGTAGCTGAATATTTCAACTTAAATCAATTTAGTAACCTCTATCTGATAATTCCCAAACAGTGTCCATGTTATAACTTGTGACCGCCAATTAGAGAGCAGTGACTTGTCGATCGGATCAATGACGCGTGAACCTGTATGAGCAGTCTAGAGTCCTTATTGGTTCCGATTTCTACCTAGCCTAGCCAGTTAAGTCTATAACATCAATCCGAGCCTCTGCGATATGAATCATTATATTTCAAACATACTGAGTTTATATACCAATCAAACAGACCACAACGTACAGTAAAATAGAAAATAACATTTGTACAATATTTGGCCAAATGTGGCTGTGAATGTGGGAGGTAGTGATTAATAGTCAGGGAATAATTCAAGAATGCATAATCGTATAATAACAGTTCATAGGTTAAAACAAAGATTATGATAAGAGAGACATGAATATGAATAGTTTGGTTAATTAACAGTATACGATAAAATATATGTATAGTATTGGTCCACAAATAGATCACAAAATTACCACTCAATATTCTTATCGGGGCATAACAGTCCAGCATAATTTTTGTTTATTATTTGTGACTACCGGTATATAACATTAAAAGTTCTTAAGTTAGTTTTTACACCCTGACTGACATTAGCTGAAAGGAAAAACTGTAAAACTTCGACATGGTTTGGTGCCACTGACAATGACTTCTCACTTAAACTTCAGATATTCTTTCTGAATAAATTGAACAATCATCATATATTTCTTTTTTCATCTACTTTCGTATTCGTCAGCAAATTGTATTTATTCTACAAACAAGTATAGCTCAAATGTCCATTTGATCTAAGTAAAGATCCAGGTCACTAAACAACAACAACAACAGAAAAAACGTTTCTGGGATGAATAAGTAGCAGTTGAAGTTGTCTCTGCTGTCAAAGTTCTACCTGCTTCATAACTAAATTAATATTTCTTGATATGATATGAAAATGTATCAGGACAGAACTATTCATTCTACCATTATATTAAGTTTTATACTAATTAGACAGTTTATCAATAGGGCAGCTAATCCCTAATATGAAACCAATATTATGTCTAACCTAAGAGTACATTAGATTATTAACGTACGATCAAAAAAAATTATTAATCCATTGATCAGTCCACAAATATTTCTCACTTCACAAAAGAAGAAATACTTTGATTTTACTACTGTGCATTACTCTTTGAGATATTACAAATATAAATAATTATTTTTATTATTGCCAATCTACCCAATCCTCATTTTATTTGAAATTAACAAGTCAAATATTAGTACTGGTACTGATTATGTGTCACTGACTCACTAAGAATTTTTTTTGCTACGTGACATATAGACCCTAGTTTTGTTCTGTAGTAGAATCATGGGTGCTCATTGAAAGGATATCAAATGCTCGGACAAGATAGTTTCCTAATCTTTTCTAGTTTTCAGTGGTTGTCAAATCAAAGTCCAAGATGTAATGATACGAAATATTTTACAATAATTACAACTTTCTATACTAAAATAATATCATTATATTTATTTTTCTACCACAATAACTTAATTGCACACTATTCTACTTATTTAATAGAGATTCCTTTTTTTTCATTTATTTTCTGTCTGGCTTTAAGTTTGTATGACCTTCTGACGAGAATGTTAAACTACGTGATTATACAAATGAGTGAACATATTTCTATACAGAATAACATAATAAAATAAGACAATATACTAGGTTTATAGAATTAAGCTTAACTGAGATGAAATATAATTAACAAGAAGATTGAAGTAAATAATAGATTAGCATTAAGACGAGAGAAAACTTGATTTAAGCTAATATATGTAGATACTCTATATTTCCATAATAAAGTACAAGATTTTCTTGAAAACAATAACATTAGTAACAGAATTGGTTATCTTGTACAATGTCATCAATTAATCAATCTTCTAAACTTTCACTTAAGTTGTATTGCGGTATACATATCGATGTAACTTCACAAATGTCTGTTATTCGATATTGTGATACAGCTTTATTTTTCAGAAAGAAGTATGCCATTTGTCTGAAAGCCATCTACTTAAAAATTTATGTTAAGTCACAGTTTACGGTTATTAACCGAGTTTATTTTATCTCTTGGTATTCATCAAATCTTCTTGGTTTCCTCTTTTCTATACAGTTTTATCAAAAATAGGCTTCTCATGACCATATTTGATTTCTCCTGCTTTTGAGGACAAAGTTTAGTATCCGAAGACTCTCATCCACCCGAAGTAAATAAATAATCTAGTCCTATCTGCTGATAAAGCTGAGATAATTTTATCCTCTGAACGCTTTGAATATCAATACAAAATGTTTATCATACATTTAACCTCATCATATCAAACTGTTTCAGAACTCGTGGTTTCAGTACTTTATCCATCTCATCTTTTGTTGGGATTCTTATAAGCCTTAGCGAGTTAGTGGCTGACGAGAGTTCAGAATAGGTATAAGATGTTGACCTAGTTTTTTTATCTTACGCCACCTGTCATTCAGCCGATGCTCCCGCCTATATGTCATAGGGAAAGTACGATTTTGAAGTGTGATTCCCGAGGAGAGAAATCATGAGTAGATTACTAGTGTCTGATTATGAACACCGTTGCATTTTGAATGAATACTTCAGTCACGAAATGTTAAGAGGTAATTTTAAGCGTAAATTAATGAGTAAAGAAAGTAAATAAACTAATGAACCTTTGCCATATATGATAATTGAGACGTATATTCAGTGTATATAACTACCAAGTACATTGACGTCCCTTACTAGTGAGTACAATATTCAGTTCAAAATATGCTAGGACACATCAATGACTTTTGATTTAACGCATTTTCAAAAACGCAAACTTCCTAGTATGGGTCAGTGACACAATCCAAACCTGTGGTCAGAGACCTTAGGTGGGATATCTTGAAATCCTTCAAGGTAACACAGGCATTCATTTTTTCCTTATTTTCTACTATTGTCAGTATGTTTCACTCCATAGCTCGCCAATTAGTCATTTTTCGTTTCTATCTTGATATGAACCTGAATACATATGTATCAGATCTTATCTTGTTAACATCCACACTTATTTACCATAATACATCTAAAAGGTGTAGCTCCTTCACACAGAAACTCTCATTTTCACGGTGCATTAAATTTGACACCTGATCTGATAGTTAAAGAACAAACGCATAACAATATATATTCAGTAACAACTCGACGATTTCTAATTTCGCACTTTCCTGATCTAAACTTTGATAAATTATCATTCTATTAATTAATTAAAAATTTGAAAACTTCTCAATGGCATAAAATAGTGAGATATATTTGGCCCATAAATACAAATGATTACATATCTATCACTTTTTTCTAAACTCAAAGTATGTTGCAATTTACAACAGGAGATCATTCTTTTCTCACTTTTGTTTACCATAGATATGTTCAATTAGCCGATCACAAATAAACGCACACACACAAGAAAATAAATAGTTAAACAAATTTATCACAATGTCCTAGAACGAAATACACTAAATCTGATTGTTTACATTCTGGCTAAAATGTTTTTTTTAAATATACGTGTACAGTAATCGGAATATTAAGAATAATGATTAAAAAATAATAGTAATATTAGTGAAAACTAAAAGATATAAGGGTTTTCTTTTTTCATGAAACATAAAAAAGTAAAAACAGTAGCGAAGAATTAGAATATTAGCTTTCTTTTACAACTAAAAATTCGTTTATTTTGCTCTACAACTGCAAATTCAGAAAAATATTTGTATAATAATAGCAATAAAGAGTAATTCTTCATGTATTGCATATAATAGCTGGTACAGAAAGTTTTTTAAGGTATATAGTTTCATCGCCTTTTACATAACAAAGCCAAATAGAATTATATAATCTATAAAATACTGTGACTTTAATGTCATTGACTGACTAGAAATTCTCATGAAAAATTATATATATATATATATATATATATATATATATATATATATATATATATATATATATATACTTTAATGATAGAAAACCAGATAACAGAAGTTATAGGAAGTTACAGAAAAATGCCGTGTGTAAAGAACTAAGTTTTTGAACTACTGTATGATGTGATCTAATAGGAAAAAAGTCGATTTATATTTGATCCTTCAATTTCATGACGATGTTTCCTTCAGCATTAAAATTATATGTTTCGAAGTATAGTAAAATAATCATAGCCAAGAAACTAAATAAAGCGGGCCAGTTTCTGAATTATCGGAGAATTTTATCAAGCCAACAAAACAGATGAAAGAACTAAATATAAACAATAGTTTCTTGTGTGTGCAGTTTTTTAGTTTTGTCGTGAACATGACGCTGCTATGGCTGCCGCTCCTTTCCCACTTCCATCTTCAGATAAACGTAGACAGAACTATATTGAAATATATATAAAACAGTGATTATTATAAATGATACTTTAGAGGGACATAAATTAAAAATATTACAATTAATACTTCGTTTACGTTAATTTCATTGTTTTAAACATATCAGCCTTTTAATATTTCTTTATGTACATGTAAGTTAATTACTTCTAAGTGAAATGATAGAAACTATGAGACTTAAGTATTTTTCTCAGGCAAAATAATATTTACATAAATAGATTTGCACCCGATTGTAATAGAAGAAATTAGAGCAGTAAATTGTTAATTTATCCTTCTCCAGAGAATATTTCAATATTGTTATGAATTTTTTCAAGCAATGCAATATACAAAATACCTAACAATAAAGTATGAGAAGTATTTTGAAATATAATAAAAACACTGAATTTTCATTTACTCGTGTATTCTTTGGCTTTAGCTTATCAACCATATCTGTCATTCGTTCACAAAACTTCGGATGGAATTTATATAAAGAGCCATCAACGCCAATAGTTACTTCTGAGCGGTTTATTCTCCGAAGAATGCAAGCAATACCTGAAAATAGATGAACAAGAACCCAGTTATTAAATGTTCAGTGTGTTAAAATATTTGTAGTATTCTATTGAAAAATACGGCAATCTATGCATAACAGTTCATGCGATAAAAATCAATGGACTCACCTGCGCCTGCTAGATAAGCCGCCCGTTTAACGACCATTTCACAGGCATATCGTACTATGCGGTTATCTATCGGCTCAACAACAGGGACACGCAAGTCATCAGTAAGCATATAGTGAGTATTGTATAAAAGGTGAGCAGGATCTCTGAAACAAAATTTTTAGCAAAATAAGATTTTTATATAGAGACAACACGTGAAATGTGATATAAATGGAAAGAGAAATATAGTTTTAATTGTCAACACCGAGAAATAATTGTTTTCGAATTCATACTACAGTTCAACGGTCCAAAGGAAATAATTTACTATCATAGTTTGTTACGTACTTCATGTAACAAAAAGTATTAATCTTTTGACTGAGTGAAGGGTAGAAATGTAAGCTGCACAAACGAAAGCATCAACATAATTTAATTCACCGATGCAAAACCAACCTTACATGGTTAACTTTCAGTTTTTTCTGTTTTGCTTTATTGGCCACATGATTTCGTTAATCTACATCAGTCGTAAATTATTCAGTAACTTTTGAATAATGACTGTTATATGTGGAAGGTAGACAACTGGTAATAGGAAATCATAGTTTGTAATGCTGGGTAACTTTGTGCTGTTATTACAAAATAGAGTTAAAAGATTATAAAAGTATACCGAGTTAGCCACAGGGTCTATACATGATCATCAAGTTTAAAAATCTATAAATCTTCATGTGGAAAATAAAAGCTGAATTCACAAGTCAATATAAGCAAGAACACCATTGAAAACCTGGAAGCACTAGAGGGCCATTTTGTTCTAGTACAATCCCCAGAATTGATAAAAATAAATGCACTGTATATTTCTGGTGTCATTCTTACTAATCATAATAATCAGCTAAGTGAAACCAAATATCATTTTGCGTTAAATTAAAAGTGGCATAAATACATACATTTTGTTATAAACATCATTTTAGTATGTAAAACTAAATCGATTAAAGTATCAGCGTTTCAAATAAACCTTACCTTTCAACATCTGTTAAGTATCTAGTCAGCAGAGAATTGCGTACTTTCAAACGTTCAGGGAGTTCCCCACGAAAGAGAATTTTTTGTTCAACAAGGTAAACAAGGATGTGGCGAACTAACTCACCAAGGTACATCCCAGATACCATTTTTTCATATCTGAAGATAATACAGAACAGGAATAAATTATAAAACGATTTTGGATGTTTGGAAAACATACTTCTGCATGATATATATTGAATGGGAAAAACTGAAACCCTCGAGTCAAGGACTTGTTAATAATAAACACTGTTGCTATTTACTAATGTGTATGAAATAATTTGAGAAAAATGCTCTTACACAGGAATAGTTCTAAACTTGGATACAACCAGTTATAAAATCATCCCCGGACCTAAATACCAATGTTTTAGATGCTTGCAAGAGCTTATGACAAAATATCAACAAAATAATTGTTGACTACAATAATTTTAAGTATCTATAAAATAAGACTAACAGTTGTTTTCCTGGGTGAAGACTGTCTATATCCATTGTTTTGTCAAACTGTGTTCTCCAACAGTCCAATTCCCCTTTCTCGCCGAATGCACCCCACTCTGTGTTTATAACGACTTCGGGTTCTTTCACGTCATTCATCAACTCGACTTTCGAAGAGTCCTCAATGTAAGCAACGTTTGTTCCCGTCCCTGTAAAACAGAAAGATTAGAAAACAGTTGGATAAAAATGCTTGGATAAAACCTTTGTCAGTCAGGTACTAAATGCACTTGGTAAACCATCAAGCGTTACATATATTTATGTGTACACGCAGTTTCAAAATTTTATCTCGGTAATGAAATAAAACACTTACCGACTATCAATCCAACGGCACATTTTGAGTCCTCAAGAGCACACGACGCAAGTGTACCAACTGTATCGTTTACAACTGCAACACACTTCACATTTAATCCCTGCAACAAATAGAAATTTAAACAGTTAATTACATAAACGTAATACTACTTCATCCAGAATAAACGACGTCCTACATCTTCCGATGCCAATACTGATTATAATGAACCAAAATTTTAAAACAAAAAGTACATTTAAATCAAAAACATAAAAAAATGTTAACTATTTTCAAACAAAGTTTTCTGGTCGTTCACCCATTAATGAAACAGTTTTTGAGATAGAAAATTACCGACTCTGTAATTTATTTAATCCAAGTCCTAATTTTACTACGCAGAAACCATAATTGTTGAAACTCTTGTACACTCATTCTTAATCCACTTCATATGCAGATCTTATAATGAAAAAGACTGTAAACACATTCGCATGAATGAGCTAACACCTGGGACGTTAACTTTTAATCAGACTCAAATAAATAAACTGTGAAAAGCCTTTTCACTAAGACGAAAATATCGTGGTCACAAAGCAACCCAGAATAACCTAGAGTTAGGTACGTTAGTCGTTGGGAGGGAACGATAAGTTCATTTGAATGCCAAATATATAATGTCAGTATTGATATGGCACCACAACTAACATAGGCTCATTTGTTGAAGCGTACTCATGCAATCAAAATCAAGTCACTTTTACAATTTCTCAATAAAATAGCAGTATCTTACAGCAAGTAACTACTTTTTTAATAAAATCAATCCTGTAAAAGCACGATTTAGCAACTGCACTCACTCTTTTATCTAGCTCATTTTGCAGCAGTTCAGCAACATTATGACCTTCTACCCCATCTGCGGAGAAACCTTTTGTCCATCGCACCAAAGTAGCATGAGTGAGGCCTTTCTGGACACATGGAAAAGAGAATGTGAATCCGAGGTCGAACTTTTTGTCCTTCATTCCGTTGTTTTCCAGAAAGTCAGCCAGTGTCTCAGCAATATATTTAAAGAGCTACGTAAAAAAGATAATAATATGCAATTTATCAAATTGTTTCTAGAAATATACGTCTTTTTTATTAAGTGATCCTAATTAATATAAAACAAGCTAGCTGTGCAATTTATTTTTCATTCTATACGCAAATAAAATGTCAACACAGAATGTTTGGAATAGAATCTAAAATAATGCAAATTATATTTTAAGAATGTGATTGTAATGAGTCACTTCAGGCCACATAGCTTTCTACAACAATGACAGCTCTGTCCAATATGTATTAGTTCCAAGCTCTACGTTGATTATAGCTGGCTAATGAGATGATTTTAAAAGACTCAGTGAAAATCCAATGCAAGTTTAAAATAGCGCTTGAACACATTTTATGCTTTTTATGAATTTCACAAACATTCTCAGTCCGTAGGTCCCCACCTCTAAAAAATAGCTTTGATTAAGCAATGGAAACCAGAAACACGTTTAGACTCGATTATTCATAATCCAGCCTAAGAGAAGTAATACGATTTGTTAACTTGATACAAATGCGTGCAATCACCTACGAGACAGTATTGTTTAACTGTTTATGTGTCTGAAAAGCCACCTTAAACAAAATTGTCTGAGAGTTACTAGAACTCCAGGAGTTTAGATTCAAGGCAAGGTGCATTTAACTTAGTTTAAATAACGTATTTTATGGTAAACATTGCATTTGGCACGGTTATTAAATCATAATTCATAAATGAAATGCAGATATTTTCAAAATTTAAAGAATTAGTATTTCACTACATAGAAGTAGCAGATATTGCCCAGGAAATTCACCCACAACCCTCTATATGAGAAAATACCAAAGAAATGTTGGTTCGCTGCCTTCAAACCAGGCTATCAAACAAAGTCAGATATCCCGAGAGTCGAATAAATCTTGGTTGAATTGGATAGAGTAATCTCTCGTGGACCAATGAGTTTAGCCTTAAACCGAAGGCCAGTTCCAAAATTATGCTATATTTAACACTTAAATAAATTAGCTAGTTTACTTAATAAGAAGAAACCAAGACTAAAACTGGTTCATCTCATGGATTTAAAAAGAAATAGGATAGAAAAAATTAGCCGATGTGAAAATAGGAACAAAAATAAGATATTGGTCAAGTTACAAAAAATTAGCTTGACATTACACCTAACCTCCGTTCCAGAACCTGACATTTTTTCTGCAGGAATACAGTAAGTTCTCTCTTGGATTGTTGGAGATTTTCCTTTGCCTTCAAGAGTTACTGAAAGCACTCGATAGTTTGTTCCACCAAGATCTAAAGCTAAGAAACTTCCAGTTTCTACGAAGATATAAAACATTTAGTGTTAAAATACCTGTCCCATTTGGTGTTCTTGTAACATAAGATGGAAACATTTTAATAGATGATTTTTCATTTGTACTCTTCTGTAAACCTAGACGCATTGACTCTCCCATCCTATCACAAATCTCCTCATAGTCAACCACAGAAAGATCAAGTGGCTTGAGTATCTCGACCACCTTCTCAAAAAGTTGCTTGTCTGAGAACACCATTTCGTTTCGCAATATGTCGCGAACTACAGCTTAAACCCTTTAAATATTACCCTTCACTCCATGAGTGTCGTTTATACATATAAACAAACCTCCAGTAAAAACAGTCTTCATCAACAAATAAGAGAGTAAATAATATCATATCCTAAAAAAATTAGTTCAAAGCTCTTTCGTTGCATTGTTTTTGCTCGGTTTCATTAGAAAGATTGCGTAGACCTTACTTCAAGTTACTTAGATTTAACCATTCGCGTAAATATTAATGTTCACTGGTATTTATTTGGATAGTCATCATTATTCTCAAAAAAACTGCCAGGTGACCTAAAGTTTCTCAAACGTCTTCCCATAAATCTTCACTTAGACAGCATAATAATTGCTAGTATTTCGTAAGGTATGACATGTTAACATGACACCACTTTATTTAACCGAAACTATTGCTCATCTACTTTCAGGCCTGCTTTAAAAAGCACCTATCTATTGGCAGTACGATGATGAGGAACCCACGGTCCCATGTTGGCTATTATGTGAAAATTTTTTGGTCAGGTGTCTTTCGGTTTAATGGATTTTTTTATTATTTTTCATTCAAGGTGGTTTGTAGCTTGGCTTGAAGTGTATCACTATGTACTCTGGCTTTAGCGCGGAGTACCACTATGTCACAATGGCCGAAAAAGATATGTCTATGACAGTCAATATCATACCTTTTGAGTTGGACGAGTTTTTGCTGACACCTTTCCGTCTTCAGAGTGCTGTACAAACATTCCGAAATGTACAAACAGTTATTTCAAGGTACAATTAAAGTATAACCGAATGTTGTTACCTACCGAATAACAGTCCTAAGTTGAAACCCCATGATCATTTGAGCATCATTTTGTAAAGACTTGAAAACTATTAATATAATTATTATTGTTATTCGAAAACAGCCTATTGGTGCATAAGTGTTACAAAGAACTCATCTTCAGTTTCTTCAGAAATCTGGTTATACACATGTTTCAGTAATTTTTGCACCATATTCGCCGTATTTAAACAGGTTCTTTAGGATTTAGAAGAATATTGAGTTGAATTTGCGAAAAGTAGAGAAAAAATTGGGAAAAAGTGAGGTAAATGTCTTAATAAAATTAGAAAACATGATAGCTGGGGACGAGATCACACTCACACAAAAAGTCAAGACTATTAAACAATATATCATGGTAATAATATGATGCGATAGCTTTGAAAAATTCTATTTCACTTTTCAGGCACTGTAGCGTTTATACAACAAAGAATATCAGCTGAGGGTCCCTTAGTTCCACCGTTAAAAAGATGAATATTGACATACTATCTAATCATAGGTCCGATAATCAGTACATTACATAGGTTCCTTTCTAATTCTGTCCTGATGACCATAAAAATCCAGAATTTCACACTTTTAGCTAGTTGTCTGAACTTAGTTCCTAGATTCAGTTTTAGTGGTAAGTACTAGAAATATACAGAATGATACGTTGCGAAAAGAAAATTGTTTCGGAATGGCAAGAAGATTTAACCAACCAACAGAAAGCTTATATCTTCAAAACTGGATAAACATCTCCTCCACGTTTATGATCACCTGATCATTCTTTTAATAAATTCAACTGGGTCTAGTTCTCTATTTACATGATAGAACAGTAAGATTAAAATCAAGAACTAAGATATGTATTTAAGAGAGTTCACATTTTAAATTATGTCAGTTTTTGGTGAAGTCAGAAATGAAGGAGCTTGAAGATATGTTTGAAATGCTGTCGATATGTCGAGCAAAGTTTGGTCTAGGCTGACCAATAGTTGAAAGGGATGAGTAGCACGGCGTGCCCATGCATGGTCTGGTGTGGGTGCGTGATTGATTACATCCAGTTAGATGAGTCCAGTAAAACTAATCCGGTCAGCATCACATCTTGAAGACATACAGAGCCATTGATCTTGGGGACATATTAACCGCCACAGATCACGTCCCCTCTAGCGAGTCAGTGATGACCCTAGGGTTTAGACAATCGGAAGTTCAAAACTAACGAACTTGATGATGGTTAAAACTCTTCCGATAGCATGCTATGATCAGCAGCATCTAGTCGTCTTTCATGAATACAAGGGTCCATGTGGTGCATAATAGCAGCGAAAAACAATTAAAGTGAAAATTCCGGTTCTTCGTGATATTCGACCTCTTTTCATTTTTTCTAGCCGTCCTCGAAAAGAGAAAAGGTTGCTAACTGCATATCGAAGTGCAATCATACGTGCATCAGGCGAAAAAGGATAAATATTGCATACACGCGTACTGATAACATGCGATAACGTAGATGCAACTTTCTCATGATGATATTTTTTGCCTTTTCAGGAAAAAGTTATATTTGTACAAACACATATGGGTACATTAGCAAACAACTTCACCCGGAGTCCCTCCGAAAGCTCCTGCCGGTCCCAAGCCCAAATAAGAGAGGAGGGTTGGGCATGGCATTAGCGACCCCATCCCGTAGAAAACTAACCCGCTAAAAAAACACCAACCAGAAAAAATTATTCAAACCTTTTAAACTCTGCCCTGGGAGTCAGAAGGTCTTCATTTAGAAGAACTATGACGCCTCATGTTGAAAGCCTAGTTCCTTCGGAAGTTATGAGGCCGATGCCCCTTCTGACAACCAGAGCAACCATTTATTTAGGTACATAGAGTGTTCGTACAATATGGGAAACAGGGAGAGCCTTCCGAATTGCTGCAGAAATGAGAAGATACAACCTAGAGGTGCTCGGGATCAGTGAAACACATTGGACGCAAGTTGGGCAACAACAACTAACTACAGGAGAGCTCCTGTTATACTCCGGCCATGAAGGAGAAAATGCCCCACATACACAAGGGGTTGCATTGACGCTGTCCAAACAAGCACAAAATGCACTTATAGGATGGGAATCTCATGGGCCAAGGATAATCAAGGCCTCCCTCAAAACAAAGAAAGAGGACATTAAAATGGGCGTGATCCAATGTCATGCGTCTACCAACGATTACAATGAAGATCAATTCTACAATAGGCTGCAGTCAATCATCGAGAAGTGCTCAACAAGGGAGTTGACCATTCTGGTGGGAGACCTAAATCACAAGGTTGGGATGGACGACACTGGATATGAAGACATCATTTGATAACATGGACTAGGAGAAACGAACGAAAATGGTGAGAGATTTGCAAACCTATGTGCCTTCAATAAACTGGTCATAAGCGGCACCATATTCCCACATAAATGCATTCACAAAACCACATGAACATCACCAGATCACACCACGCAAACCAAGTCGACCATATATGTGCATCAATAAAAGGTTCAGAAGGACGATGGAGGACGTGCGAACCAAGAGAGGAGCTGATATAGCATCAGATGAAATTGAAACTCACGAAGCACTGGACAATGGGGTGGACAATATCACAAAAGTTCAATACGGCTTTTCTTCAGGATACTGACAAACTCAACAAATTCAAGGTAGTCATCAGTGATAAGTTCCAGACCTTTCATGATCTACTCAATGGAGAAGGAACTACTATGGAGAGCAACTGGAAGGGGATCAACGAAGCAATCACTTCAACATTTCATGAGGTTCTAGGCCACAAGAAACACCATCACAAGGAATGGATCACTGTTGATACACTGGATAAGATTCAAGAGAGGAGGAACAAGAAGACAGCCAAACAAGAGCAGAGAAATCCAAGACACAAGCTGACTACACAGAAGCGAACAAGCAAGTGAAGAGGAGCAATAGAGCCGACAAACGTAAATATGCGGAAGACCTAACAATGTCAGCGGGTTGGGTTGCAAATGAAAGGGAAACATGAGAAAATTGTATGATGCAACAAAGAAGCTCGCTGGAAATTATCGTGAACCAGAACGACCAGTGGAAAGTAAGCAAGGCAAAGTAATCACCAACATTGAAGAACAGCGAAATAGGTGGGTGGAACACTTTAAGGAACTTTTGAATAGACGAGCCACACTGAACCCACACGACATCGAAGCAGCACCCATGGACCTCCTGATCGATGTTGGCCCACCAACAATTGAAGAGGTAAGCATGGTCATCAGGCAAATCAAGAGTGGCAAAGCTGCAGGACCAGACAACATTCCAGCAGAGGCACTGAAAGCAGACGTAGCGATAACTGCGAGGATACTCCACGTTCTCTTCAATAAGATTTGGGATGAGGAACAAGCCATCAGTTTTCTACGCAAAATACTTTGAATCCGTTGGCCGGACACTATTAGCAACAACCAACTGTGGGAAAGAACAAACCAGATCCCAGCGGAGGAAGAAATTAGGAAGAAGCGCTGGAAGTGGATAGGACACACATTGAGGAAAGCACCCAACTGCGCTACAAGACAAGCTCTCACATGGAATCGTCAAGGCCAAAGGAGGAGAGGAAGATCAAAGAATACATTACGCCGGGAAATGGAAATAGACATTAGAAAAATGAAAAAGAATTGGATAGAACTAGAAAAGGAGGCTAAGGACAGAGTGGGTTGTAGAATGCTGGTTGGCGGCCTACGATCCATTAGAAGTAACAGACGTAAGTAAGCATATTAGCAAACAAATTTTGTTTCTGATTTGCTTTTTTGGTAATATGATACGAAAAATAACAACGATGTGGAGCAAATATTATGTTGTGTCTTACCTACAGTAGTCGTTCAAGTCTTCCGTAAACCTTGAACTTCCTCCAAAATGCTTTGTTCTTGGCCGGCTATCAAATACCCCTGAAGTTTCGTCATGACAGTCGATTATCGAGGGAGGTATCGTTATTGTGTGGCTCGTGTCGTTCGACTGTAACATAGGAAGGTCGACATTATCAGGGTTTCTTAAATACGCGGCTCAGAAACGAGCGATGCTGATACCATCATCAGCCCCATCTTTATCGATGATAAAGTTCCTAGATTAACGATGAAAGGCTTTGTAGGGTCCTTCGTATACCATATCGAGAGGTCGTCGATATGAGTTGTGACCTACAAAGACGTGTGTACCATATCGTAAGGCAGGTTAAACGGAAACAACAGTTGACTACGGTCAAGTGGAAACAGGTTTAACTGGACGCTTAACGTTTGTAAGCCTGTACTTGTAAGAGTGTC